CACCAAGCAGACCCAATAGACATCTACAGAACTCTACACCCCAAATCAACAGAATATACATTCTTCTCAGCACCACATTACACTTATTCCAAAATTGACCACATAGTTGGAAGTAAAGCACTCCTCAGCAAATGTAAAAGAACAGAAATTATAACAAACTGTCTCTCAGAACACAGTGCAATCAAACTAGAACTCAGGACTAAGAAACTCAATCAAAACTGCTCAACTACATGGAAACTGAACAACCTGCTCCTGAATGACTACTGGGTACATAACGAAATGAAGGCAGACATAAAGATGTTCTTTGAAACCAATGAGAACAAAGATACAATGTACCAGAGTCTCGGGGACACATTTAAAGCAGTGTGTAGAGGGAAATTTATAGCACTAAATGCCCACAAGAGAAAGCAGGAAAGATCTAAAATTGACACTCTAACATCACAATTAAAAGAACTAGAGAAGCAAGAGCAAACACATTCAAAAGCTAGCAGAAGGCAAGAAATAACTAAGATCAGAGCAGAACTGAAGGAGATAGAGACACAAAACACCCTCCAAAACATCGATGAAACAAGGAGCTGGTTTTTTTGAAAAGATCAACAAAATTGATAGACTGCTAGCAAGACTAATAAAGAAGAAAAGAGAGAAGAATCAAATAGATGCAATAAAAAATGATAAAGGGGATATCACCACTGACCCCACAGAAATACAAACTACCATCAGAGAATACTATAAACACCTCTACGCAAATAAACTAGAAAAACCTAGAAGAAATGGATAATTTCCTGGACACTTACGCTCTCCCAAGACTAAACCAGGAAGAAGTTGAATCCCTGAGTAGACCAAGAGCAGGCTCTGAAATTGAGGCAATAATTAATAGCCTACCAACCAAAGAAAGTCCAGGACCAGATGGATTCACAGCTGAATTCTACCAGAGATACAAGGAGGAGCTGGTACCATTCCTTCTGAAACTATTACAACGAATAGAAAATGAGGGAATCCTCCCTAACTCATTTTATGAGGCTAACATCATCCTCATACCAAAGTCTGACAGAGATACAACAAAAAAAGAGAATTTTAGACCAATATCACTGATGAACATTGATGCAAAAATCCTCAATAAAATATTGGCAAACTGAATCCAGCAGCACTTCAAAAAGCTTATCCAGCATGATCAAGGGGGTTTCATCCCTGGGATGCAAGGCTGGTTCAACATACGCAAATCAATAAACAAAATCCAGAATATAAACAGAACCAAAGACAAAAACCACAGGATTATCTCAATAGGTACAGAAAAGGCCTTTGACAAAATTCATCAGCCTTTCATGCTAAAAACTCTCAATACATTCGGTATTGATGGAACCTATCTCAAAATAATAAGAGCTATTTATGACAAACCCACAGACAATATTATACTGAATGGGCAAAATCTGGAAGCATTCCCTTTGAAAACTGGCACAAGACAGGGATGCCCTCTCTCACCACACCTATTCAACATAGTGTTGGAAGTCTGCCTGGGGCAATCAGGCAAGAGAAAGAAATAAGGGGTATTCAGTTAGGAAAAGATGAAGTCAAATTGTCCCTGTTTGCAGATGACATGATTATATATTTAGAAAACTCCATTGTCTCAGCCCAAAATCTCCTTAAGCTGATAAGAAACTTCAGTAAAGTCTCAGGATACAAAATCAATGTGCAAAAATCACAAGCATTCTTATACACCAGTAACAGACAAACAGAACTAAATCATGAATGAACTCCCATTCACAATATGTTCAAAGAGAATAAAATACCCAGGAATCCAACTTACAAGGGATGTAAAGGACCTCTTCAAGGAGAACTACAAACCACTGCTCAGTGAAATAAAAGAGGACACAAACAAATGGAAGAACATACCATGCTCATAGATAGGAGGAATCAATATTGTGAAAATGGCCATACTGCCCAAGGTAATTTATAGATTCAATGCCATCCCCATTAAGCTACCAATGACTTTCTTCACAGAATTGGAAAAAACTGCTTTAAAGTTCATATAGAACCAAAAAAGAGCCCACATTGCCAAGACAATCCTAAGTCAAAAGAACAAAGCTGGAGGCATCACACTCCCTGACTTCAAACTATACTACAAGGCTACAGTAACCAAAACAGCATGGTACTGGTACCAAAACAGAGATATAGACCAATGGAACAGAACAGAGTCCTCAGAAATAATACCACACATCTACAGCCATCTGATCTTTGACAAACCTGAGAGAAACAAGAAATGGGGAAAGGATTCCCTATTTAATAAATGGTGCTGGGAAAATTGGCTAGCCATAAGTAGAAAGCTGAAACTGGATCCTTTCCTTACTCCTTCTACGAAAATTAATTCAAGATGGATTAGAGACTTAAATGTTAGACCTAATACCATAAAAACCCTAGAAGAAAACCTAAGTAATACCATTCAGGACATAGGCATGGGCAAGGACTTCATGTCTAAAACACCAAAAGCAATGGCAACAAAAGCCAAAATTGACAAATGGGATCTAATTAAACTAAAGAGCTTCTGCACAGCAAAAGAAACTACCATCAGAGTGAACAGGCAACCTACAGAATGGGAGAAAATTTTTGCAATCTACTCATCTGACAAAGGGCTAATATCCAGAACTTATAAAGAACTCAATCAAATTTATAAGAAAAAACAAACAACCCCATCAAAAAGTGGGCAAAGGATATGAACAGATACTTCTCAAAAGAAGACATTCATACAGCCAACAGACACATGAAAAAATGCTCATCATCACTCATCATCAGAGAAATGCAAATCAAAACCACAATGAGATACCATCTCACACCACTTAGAATGGCAATCATTAAAAAGTCAGGAAACAACAGGTACTGGAGAGGATGTGGGGAAATAGGAAGACTTTTACACTGTTGGTGGGACTGTAAACTAGTTCAACCATTGTGGAAAACAGTATGGCGATTCCTCAAGGATCTAGAACTAGAAATACCATTTAACATAGCCATCCCATTACTGGGGATATATCCAAAGGATTATAAGGTATGCTGCTATAAAGACACATGCACACATATGTTTATTGTGGCTCTATTCACAATAGTAAAGACTTGGAATCAACCCAAATGTCCATCAGTGACAGACTGGATTAAGAAAATATGGCACATACACACCATGGAATACTATGCAGCCATAAAAAAGGATGAGTTTGTGTCCTCTGTAGGGACATGGATGCAGCTGGAAACCATCATTCTCAGCAAACTAGTGCAAGAACAGAAAACCAAACACCGCATGTTCTCACTCATAGGTGGGAACTGAACAATGAGATCACTTGGACACAGGAAGGGGAACATCACACACCAGGTCCTATTTGGGGATGGGGGAGGGCGGAGGGATAACATTAGGAGATATACCTAATGTAAATGACGAGTAAATGGGTGCAGCACACCAATATGGCACATGTATACATATGTAACAAACCTGCACGTTGTGCACATGTACCCTAGAACTTAAAGTATAATAATAAAAAAAATAGAGCATATACAATGAGATCTCTACATTTATGTAAAATTTTATATATGTATGTTATATGCATAAATGTTATGGTACCTGTAATTAACTTTAAATACTTCAGCATAGTATTTTGAGGAATCTCCATACTGTTCCCCATAGTGGCTATCCTAATTTACATTCCCGCCAACAGTGTATGAGATGTCTTCTTTCTCCACGTTCTCGCCAGCGTTTGTTTGTATAAAAGCCATTTTAATGGCTGAGATGATATTACATTGTTGTTTTAAAATGTATTTCTCTGATGATCAATGATGTTGGCTTTTTTTATGTGTCTATTGGCCATTTGTACATCTTCTTTTGAGAAATGTCTATTAAGATCTTTTGCCCATTTTTAAATGAGATTATTTTATTTTTTCCTTTTGACTTGTTTGAGTTCCTTATATATTCTGATTATTAAGCACTTGTCAATGGGTAGTTTGCAAGTATTTCTTCCCATTCAGTGAATTGTCTCCTGACTTTGTTGATTGTTTCCTTTGCTATGCAGAAGCATTTCAGCTTGATGTAAACCCATTTGTCCATTTTTGCTTTGGTTGCCTGTACTTGTGGGGTATTGCTCAAGAAATATTTGTGCAGACCAATGTCCTGAAGAGTTTCCCCAGTGTTTTCTTGTAGTAGTTTTATAGACTGGAGTCTTAGATTTAAGCTTTTAATCCATTTTGCTTTGATTTTTGTATATGGCAAGAGATGGAGGTCTAATTTCATTCTTCTGCATATGGATAATTAACATATGATCCAGCAATCTCATTGTTAAGCATGTATCCTAAAGAAAGGAAATCAGTATATGAAAGAGATATCTGCACTCCAGAGTTTATTTTAGCACTATACACAATAGCCATAATTTGGAATCAACCAAAGTTTCTATCAACAAATGAATGCATAAAGAAAATGTGGTACATATACCCAATGAGATATTATTCAACCAAAAAAAAAGAAGAAACTCCTGTCATTTGCAACAACATGGATTGAACTGGGGTGTATTCTGTTAAGTGAACTAAGCCAGACATAGAAAGACAAATTTTGCATGTTCTCACTCCTGTGTAGGAGCTAAAGTTAAAACAACTATTTCATGGAGACAGAGAGTAGAATATTGGCTATTAGAGACTGGGAAGGGGATCAGGGTGGAGGGGAAAAAGTGAGGATGGTTAATGGGGACAAAAATATAGTTAGATAGAATGAATAAGGTCTAGTATTTGGTAGCACATCAGGGTGATACAGTCAACAGTAATTTATTGTATATTTTAAAATATTGAAAGAGTGGACTGGAATGTTTCTAACACAAAGAAATGATAGGTGATGGATACCCAATTACCCTGATGTAATTATTACATGTTGTATCCTGTATCAAAACATCACATGTGCCCCATAAATATATATAACAATTGTGTACCCATAATCATGAAAAAACAAAAGAATTTTTGGGAAGTGATTAAGTCATGAGGGCTCCACCCTTGTGAATGGGATTAATGACCTTATAAAAGGGGTTTCCGAGAGCTGCCTGGCCCTTCCATCTCTCTGCATGTGAGGACACAGCATTAGTCCCTTTTTGCCTTTCTGTCATGTAAGGCTGCAGTGAGAAGAGGATATCTTGGAAGCAGAGAGCAGCCTTCACCATGTGTAAAAATTTTGTAAGAGATTTCTTTCATTATAACCTGAAAGTAAGATTGTGGGGGACTGCTAACTCTCACCCCCCACATCAAACTAGTTGCTACCATTCTCAACCAAAGAACCTCTTCAGAAAGAAATTAGCTGTGTCAGTTCACAACAATAAAGAAATAAAAGTATCTTTTAAAAAAGAAAAGTATACAGATTATCTCTTCATTAAAAGAATAATGCCATGAGTATATACAAACAAAACTTTCACATTTAATTTTTGGGAGGTCACAGGTTTGCCCATTTCCATTCACAGACTACTGTGTCTACTGCATTGGGTCTAATGCAAATTCAACCTTTACTTCAGTAGACAAGATGTGAAAGTTGAAGGACACAGGTAGAATCCCTGATTCTATTCAATTACAGTATTCCAGAAGTAAACTTTTTGGAGGCAGACTTTTAATAATGTACAAGATAGGATAGTTTTCTGATCACAGAGATTTGCAGTTCTTTCTCTGCAGGTACAGACTAGTGTATATGTGTCCATTTGGCTGGTTGTCCATCATGGCCAGTTAGTGAATGCTAAGATTTCATAATGAGAAAGTCACTGCAGAAGTTTCCTTTCTTGCTTGGGTTTTGAAAAGCAGGAATATGAATGAGGAAATGACCAAAATCTTCATCTCACTGGAAAACATACAGTAAAGGAGGCAATCCTAAGAAATAAAGGAAATTAAATTAGATAAAGAATGGATAGAAGTACCTTGAACTCATAATTAGAAATTTTTATTTAATTAAAATGAGACCACTGAGAGCTTTTTGATTAGTTTGATGGGTGATCTTCTTCCGCAAAAGTTACTAAAAAGACAAAAATAACTGGCATTTTCAAACTAAAGGAGGAAAGGTGGATGTCTGAGAGCAAATTAAGAGAAACAAAATAAAATGATAGTGGCTGCATATGAAATTGAGAGAATAATAGAAGAAAAAGGAAAACTATTTAAAGACATTATTTAGGAAGAAACTACAAGATCTGTTGATAGTGAACAAAAGACAAATTTCCCATTGATGTAAGGTGAAACAAACACATTTCATCCATCCACCAGCATCTCATGAATCTTCTAAAAGTGCTACTTCCAACATGTTATCTTTCTGTCCCCAAAGGGGAGAGCCTTAGTTTAGAATCTTAGAATAAAGTCTAAATTCCTTATCTTGAAATTTAAGACTTTCTGTAGTATAGTCCCAAATTCTCTTTCTCAAAACTACCTTTAAAAATAATTCTGATAAAGGAAGACATTTATATGGCCAACAAACATATATATATATTTTAAAAAGCTCATCATCACTGGTCGTTAGAGAAATGTAGATCAAAACCACAATGAGATACCATCTCACGCCAGTTAGAATGGCAATCATTAGCAGGAAACAATAGATGCTGGAGAAAATGTAGAGAAATAGGAATGCTTTTACACTGTTGGTGGGAATGTAAATTAGTTCAACCAGTGTGGAAGACAGTGTGGCGATTCCTCAAGGATCTAGAACCAGAATTACCATTTGATCCAGCAATCCCATTACTGGGTATATACCCAAAGGATTATAAATCATTCTACTATAAAGACATGCACACATATGTTTATTGCAGCACTGTTCACAATAGCAAATACTTGGAACCAACCCAACTGCCAATCAATGATAAACTTGATAAAGAAAATATGGCACATATACACCATGGAATACTATGCAGCTATAAAAAAGGATGTGTTCATGTTCTTTGCAGGGACATGGATAAAGCTGGAAACCATCATTCTCAACAAACTAACACAGGAACAGAAAATAAAACACTGCATGTTCTCATTTACAAGTGGGAGTTGAACAATGGGAACACATGGACACAGGGAGGGGAACATCATACACCAGGGCCTGTCCCGGGGTGGAGGGCTAGGGGAGTGATAGCATTAGGAGAAATACCTAATGTAGATAATGGGTTGATGGGTGCAGCAAACCACCATGGTACGTGTATACCTGTGTAACAAACCTGCATGTTCTGCACATGTATCCCAGAACTTAAAGTATAATAAATAATAATAATAATAATTCTGATTGCAGGAGTCTTGTGAGTTTCTGTTACACAACTCAGAAGCAGATTTAAAACTAATTTTATATAATTCAATCCTGATCAAGAGCAGGGCTTTCTTATCCCACTATCTTTCTAAGTATTCCACCTTCTATTCTAACATAGGGAGATGTACGAGGGTGTGAGTTAGAGAAATCAGTGAATGCATTTCACATTCAGGTGGAACACTGTCTATGTGGGATGGATCTGCAGGTGGGAAGGGCCTGGGCAGACACATAAGCACAGGTAAGCTAAGCAATTGACTTTGGTCTACGGGCTGACCATGCACTGTGTTGGCCTCACTAAAGGCTATGTCTCTCTTGCAAGAACTTTCATTTCTTCATTTCACTCTCTCCTGTCATTAGAAGCCCAATTTTTCTTCCCTCAGCTTCTGGTTACTTTTTCACTCATCCCTGTGAGTTGAGAAACCATGGACCTGTATGATGGTTGAGTATTTGTAACCATCATGGCTCCTCAGTGGACAACTGCAGACTCCCATCTGGCTCTGACACAGTTCAAGCTGGAGGAAATAAGAGTTTCCTGTGGGGTATAAGCAAAAGGAGGAACCCACAAAAATAGCCATGAAATAGTTATTGCCATTAAGTTACTTCATGTTTCCATGTTTCCTAAATTTTACAAGTAATTGATTCATTCTTCATCAAATGTTTCACTGTTTCCTTGGTATTTTAGTCTGCTTTGGAGTCTAAGCTACATTTCTAAGACTCTTAGCTTTTCCATTGCCTCATTTCATTATCTTTATTCCCATTCCACTTCAAACTTCAGGCCCTATGGCCATGTCCTAAATACTTTTATCATTACAATTGTTCTCTACCAATATATTAGGTTAGTGCAAAAATAATAGCGGTTTTTGCCATTAAAAGCAATGGCAACAAATGGTAACGGTAAGTGCAACCACCCTGACACAATGCCATAAAGTAAATTTTCAACCCTGCTTCATCCCAAAGTCTACCTTCTTCATATTTATACCTGGACTGCTGATTCAATCACTGCTAGAGAATAATCACACAACCACTGAGATTGATACCATTAAAAATGCATGGCTTCAAACTGTAACTGTCCAGAAATCCTGCAGTTCTTCTCCAGGAAAATCTCTTTCCTGTTGTCCACAGTGACTATTCTTATACTTCTCCACCTTCCTCAAACCTCTGAACCAGATGCTGCTCACTTCATTCTCAACAAATGACCTAACCTGTTAATAAAGAAAATAGAAACCTGCTGTATGTAATTACCTCAATTCCTCCACCAAACCCATAACCTCATCTGTTTCTGAATATTTACCCATATTCTATCCTCCTTCCCTTGCTATAAATGCAAAAATTAACATATGTCCTCACAATGTATTATTCTCTTTTTCTTTTTTTTTTTTTTTTTTTTGAGACGGAGTCTCGCTCTGTCACCCAGGCTGGAGTGTAGTGGCCGGATGTCAGCTCACTGCAAGCTCTGCCTCCCGGGTTCACGCCATTCTCCTGCCTCAGCCTCCTGAGTAGCTGGGACTACAGGCGCCCGCCACCACGCCCAGCTAATTTTTTGTATTTTTTAGTAGAGATGGGGTTTCACCGTGTTAGCCAGGATGATCTCGATCTCCTGACCTCGTGATCCACCCGTCTCGGCCTCCCAAAGTGCTAGGATTACAGGCTTGAGCCACCGCACCCGGGCTGTTCTCTTTTTCATATATTATTTTGGAGAGGTAAACAGGAGTTTCTGCTGGATAATATTGGTGACTACCTCCACATTGCCTGACAAGAAGCTGCCTGAGATTAGTGGCTCCTCATTCTCCAATGGGAGGAGATTCTATTATTTTCAGCTTTGCACAATGTGTCCAGGCTCTATCACACCAGGGATTTGATATCCATGATAGCAGGTCGATAGCTACGAGATATCTGTCTGTGACTCCTTGAGTAGTTGGTATGCAAATCTAGACTGCATATTATTTGCTCTCTCCATTTAGTACAAAGGATAGTAACACGAGAGTTAGAGCCCCTTCCCAAGAGCATCGCTCTACCGTGGGTCCAACTGTGCCCAGGAATAGTGCATACACAGATCTAATGCATTTCAGCATATAGTCTCTTCTTTAGTCACTGTGCAAGAATAAGTAGGGTCATCTCGCTCCAGGGATACAGGTTTACTCACACCATCCATACTGTTAAGTGTTTCCCCAATCATTCGTGTCTGACGACCTCTCCTAGGGAGTAAAGGTATCACTAGAAGACGCAGGAACTAACATCTGTGACCTTCACCTCAGTTTTAAGATGTTTTTCCAGTGGTGTGGTGGGTCTCACTCTATCTTACCTCCTTCAGGACTGCTGACATCATGTAAGAGAGAGTTCCAGGTCACTGGCAATGGGAAAATCCCTAAGATGGAGCTAGGTGCTCTGCTCATTCTGACATCAAGATGTACCACCCCAACATGCAGGGTTTTTATTTTGTTTTGTTTTGTTTTGAAATAGAATCTTGCTCTGTCACCCAGCCTGGAGTGCAGTGATGCTATCATGGCTCACTGTAGCCTTGACCTCCCAGGCCCAAGCAATCCTCCCACCTCTGCCTCCCTAGTAGCTGGGACTATGGATGCACGCCATGACACCTAGCTAGCTTTTGTATTTTTTGTAGTGATGGAGTTTTGCCATGCTGCCAGGCTGCTCTTTAACTCCTGGGCTCAAGTGATCCTCCTACCTCAGCCCCTCAAAATGCTGTGAGTACAGGCCTGAGCCTGTAATATGCAGTTTTGATAAACTGTACCCAGCAACATGCAGTTCTAATAAACACCAAAGTGACACGAATCATAAAAATCACAGCTCAAACCATATCATAATCACAAAAGGAGCCCAAAGTATTAATAAAAGAGAATACACGATGTTGAAAAGTGATAACAGCCCTTCCTAGCAGAACAAATAGAAGGACAGCCAAGGCCATGATAGGCTAACCAAAGACTTCAATGGTTCAGACACAATTTTGTTTAAAAATCTCACTTTTTAACCATCCTCAGAATAAGAAATTGAATGCATTAATTATTTCCTGGCACCCCATTAGCACTGATTCATTAAGATGGGTGGCTGGCACCCACTTTGACTCTGCCTGTACCTATGAGGTAGCAGGTGATTCCAGAGAGACTTTCGATGGAACAGCAGGCAGAAGCTAACTGCATGGCGGTCCAAGAGCCTAAGAAGTGGATTCCACCTGGGTTTTTTTTTTTTTTTTTTTTTTTTAAATACCCATACACTCGATAATAAATTATTAGTATCCATCTTCCACTGGCTTACAGGATGTCATTTCTTCACATTTCTACAATATTTTGCTCGAACTTCACTATCATTTGGATTTTGGTTTACTTTTATTCAGCTGTTTTTTTCCTTGATTTCACATTTTTCTCACGTGAGCTGTGAATACAACTGGACTTCAAACCAGAGCATTTGATCTCTCCTTGTGCTTAACTTTCCAGGAAGATGTCGCAATTGCCCCTAAACAATAATCAAAAGGCACTTCTCTCTCTTCCTCTGAAAAAATCACAGCTCCCGGATGGGGAAGTGAGTGGAGATGTTACATCTCTCACATCCTTACTTTAGTTTCGAGAGTGAGAAGAGATGAAAG